TAATTTCATTTGTTTTATATTTTATTTATATCTGAATTTTACAAAAATATCATGTGTGTGTGTGTTAACTTTTTTTGATAATTAAAAAATATAGTTGTAAAAGAACAATATGAATAATAAAGAAAAAAAAAAAAACTTGAAGATGAAACTTGTTAGCTAAGATGAGTTTTTCTTTTGTCTTTTTCATTCATATATGATGTGTGTATATGTTTCTTATTTTGATAAATATTATATTTTGTGGGTACTTGTGTTTGAATAAGCATTCCTACAGTGAAATTAGGGAAGCCATCATGGAAACTGATACTAAGTTAACATATTTGAGAAATGCACATCTCTTGAAGTTTCTACACACAAATACATTTTAACAATAGACTTGTTGAACATATACAATCAAATACTTGTAGCACGTATCTTGGATTTAAATAGTTCATAAAACTCTAGTTGTACCAGAGAACAAAAGTATATTTCTCTGACTTTTTCAGGTTTTATTGATATATTTTTTTTTTTTTGATTCTTGTTTATGATTCTCTTAAGATTCTATGTATTATTTGTGACCTTCACATCTCTTCAGTCAAGCAATTTCCCTCATTTATTGTAATTTGGGGGGGGGAATGCTTTACAGAATTAAATTTCAATGTAAATTATTTAAATATATTTCTCTCTTGCTTATTTCATTCCTGCATTTTTTTTTTCATTTTTTTGTCTTTTTTTTTTTTTTTTTTTTTTTTCAATGTCAACTAAAATTCTTTCCCCACTTTTTTTTTTTTTTTTTTGTGTTAGTGAAACATTTTCTTTATTAAATAAACAATTGCATTTGAAATTCTTTATAGGTTTTTAAAATAATACTTCCAAATTTTACATTCTAATCATGTGATCTAATTTTTCTTTTAATCCTGAGCATTTGCTTCTGTTCATGCATATAGTTTTATAATTCTCTTCTTTTAAATGGATCTTGTTTTTATTTCTACTTAAAGATTATAATGGCAACTAGAAATGTCTTTTATTTATTTATTTTTTTTTAAAGTCCCATGTTTGTTCATTGGTTAGTTGTTTTATTCATCAATACTTTTAATATTATAGTTACAGAAAATATTTTATTGACAACATTGAACTCTTTCTGAAAAAAAACAAACACTGTGGCTGCATTTGTATAAGTTTGTCTAAATTGACAGTAGTTATGACAAACAGAAAAAATTGTATCTTATTTTCTTGTATTGGTTTCTATAGGGGTAATGAATATGCTACTTTTATTTTTTATATATATAATGTATTATTTATTTATTTTAGGATATTATATTGAAAACATGTCAAAATTGCTACACAATTGCAGTCATGTTTCAGTGTGTATCAATGTATCTCATCAGGCAATTGTAAATTACTGGCAAGTGAATAATTTGTTTAGTTTTATAAGCAAAATACAACCTCTTTTGACGAAAAAAAAAAAGGCAGGTGTTATAAGGTTTGTGGTCCTTATACTTGGGTCATATTCAACGGTTGATCTATTTTAAATTTAAACTAAGTCTAGAAGCAAAAAATTAAAAATTATTTTTTTTTAAAGGGAAATTTTGTACATTGCAGTCAATGGCAATCACACACACACACATATATATATATATATATATATATATATTATTTATATATATATATATATATATATATATTTTTTTAAAGAAAATGTTCCTGTTGATCTCGATGTAAGGATGTGACAACTTCATTCAAAAAATTGTGTGTCATTGTGACACTGCATATAAGTCTACATTTGTCTGCAACAAGAAAAATCTTAAAACATAGCCAATGTATAATTGCTGATGCTTTTTGCTGTTGTCTTTGTCTCTTAGCCAGTCTCAATACAACTGATTTTGAAATTTCTGAATACCACTCTTTTTATCTCCAAAAATTATTTCTATCCAGGACAACTTGTAGTATGAAGCAGACTTTGACAGCTTCCAGGTTACTCTAAACTGTGTTTTAAAACCTAAGCCATGGCTGTCCAACAGTCTAGATATAATACAACTGAGAAAAAACATGAAAATTATGAGAATTTTATGTTCGTTTTTTTTTTTTTTTTTTATGGTGAGCCATTATAAATAGATAAGTTGAGCTATGATATGCCATAAAGAAAAGTTTACATGACATATCTGGTTAGCTGACTCAACAGTTTTGCATTGAAATGCTCATCAGGGCCAGGATTTTATAATTTTGATTTAATTATTTATTGGTTAATTGTATTATTTATCAAACATCTGGTGTCAATGAGGTAAGACGTCTACCACGGCTACTCCATATTCAAGCTCGATCCCTTGACTGGAATCGATGACTTAGTTTGGTCTGGTTACAGTAAAGTCGCACAAAAAAATAAATTGGATAAAAGAAAAAAAGTATTTATATACAATTCCTTGATACAAGATTGATAGTACAGTTATTGCTGGCTTAAGCAGGTCTATATTCTCCGTGCAATAACTATTGACCCTTCCCAATTATCGTGACACACTGTTGTGTTTTTGAGTGAGACTTCTGGTATAAAGCTTCAAGTTGGAAGTTTTTCATCAGGGCGGTGAATGAGATCGGGTGAAGTGGTGGTTCTTGTCTCTCTGTTCAGTCTTGTCTCCGCAGTGTCTACTCTCACATCTACTCAGTGTTCTGTTTTTATGGACCCCTGTGCAAGCACTGGGGTGGAGTATGATGTCCAAACAACCAATCACGGCTCTCCCTGCAAATATCCAAATATGAGGAGCCCCTCCTCCCACCTTGGAATTCTACCTGGGCCTTTTCCTCTTTGGTCACCTGATCAAACCCATTCCCCAAGGGTTAGTCATGGTCTAGCCCAAATGGCCAAATTTTAATTATCATTCAAAATTCTTTATTGTGCTTTTGTGTGTAGTTGTTTTTGCATCTGGGATTTATTTTTTTTTTTTATCCCCTTGTCAACACTTTGGCCAACAAGTGACAAAAAGGGAACAATCTCTTGATTTGGGAAGTTTTATCTCATTTCGGCACAAGAAAAATTTAATTACCATTCTTTTTCTATTTTCTTTTGGAAACCTGTCTGCTTTTAAAAGTTAATGCTTATCAATTGACCGAATTTGTGGCCAGAGGTCTGTCTTTCTCACTGTCACTCAATGGTCATAAAAATATCTATTTTTTTCCAGGATGTCCTTGGACCTCCAAGAATATTCCATAACTTAATATCAGTCTTGATCAAAACCAAATAGTCTCTTTGTTTTGCATCTCCGGCAGACAAAAATGTCTAATTATCATTCTTTTTCTATTTACCTTTTGTCTGTTCATCGGTATATCTTCAGTCTATTGGAAGTTCTGTCTTCTACTTTTTTTTTTTTCAATTTACTAGTACCTTTCTAATAGTGTCACAGTGTTTCAATATGAAACTGTTGAGTTGGCTGACCAGATAAGTCACTTGAACCATTGTTAATTTATTAAGTGATTGAATAACAGTAGAAAAATTCAGTGTAATGTGTTTTGTCCTCTAAAAGGACTTCATTGGATTAAAGTGATCTTTTTATTGATGGAATTGTATATGGGGAAGAGGGAGATATAAAAATGTAAATGTCTGTTATAATTACGTACTGAGGGTAAATGCCAAAATGGGGGGAAGTTTTTAATTTTTAAGCTTTAAAGTTTAAAAATGTTTGTTAATTTTTAATTTAATTTTTTTTTTTTCTGTCAAACATGTCTGGACATGCAGCCTATAGTCACATTAAGAGATGCTCTAGTGATATTGGTAAATGAGATCCTCCCAAGGAATGAGGGACAAGGAAAAAAAATGTGGATAACAGATAAAATTCTTGATGATCAAAAAGAGACAGTAAGCACTGCTGAGGATTGGTACAGAATGTATAATATTAAGTGCAAACATTATACATGCTCATAAAAGAAAAAGCAAAAATACCTTAAAGATGGAATGTGTATATCAGAACTCTTCTACAGGGAAATAGGGAAACCTACAATATTCAAAAATATAGAGGGGCCTGAAATATAACTGTGCTAAGATCGGTACTTGCTAAGATAAACAGGAACAAAGCAGCAGGGCCAGTTGGGATCAGAAGAAAAATGCTATCAGCCTTGGATGATTTAGGGACTGACAAGATTATGAAAAGGATAAATGAAATATACAACTGTGTGTGTGTGTGTGTCTCTCTCTCTCTTATATATATATATATATATATATAATTTTGACAATATGGCATGAATATTGATGTCTTTTGGACTTAAATTTCAAAAAGAAAATAAAACCTTTCAATTGGTTCTTTATTAATTCAGTTAATATGAAACATTCACATTCTGTTAATTGCTCTTTTAGTTATTTTAATAATTTGAATAAGACAAGGTTTTCATTTAATGCAAAGAATTAGATCTGCTTTGGGTCATTTGTTCTGTTGGTCAGTCACTGTTGCGATAAATTTTTTTATTTTTCTTTCTCATTTTCAAGTCATCTTTTAAAAATTTGAAAGATGTGTTCTCTCTGCTCCACAGGTTTTATAAGAGACAGCCTTTTGGAAAGAGAATTTTTCCCTAAAATTGATTTAGAAAGGCAATAAGATTGATGCCTAATGCTTATCAGCTTATGTTCATAGGCCATAAATATTTTCCTATTAATAAAACCAAAGTATGGTTAGCATTAGTACTTCAATGGATTGAAGTGCTAATATTTTTGTTTGATATAAGCTGCGTTCTTAGGGTTGTTTGTTTTATATTCAGATTTATCAGAGGCAATAAATATTGCTAAGGAAAAAAAAAAAATTGACTCCTACAGATGTCGATGTGCCATGATATCCATTTTGTATAGTTTGTGCTTTTTATTTTATACATTGTATCACTTTCAACTTGAGAACCTTCAGTTCATAGCCAGGAAATATCATCAACCTTGGAAATAAGGAGCGGAATCATTGACATCTTTGTCTTCAGGGTACATTTTTAATGTTGAGCTAAATCTATATTTATCAGTCATGATCCCATCTGATTTCAAGGCTTATGTCCACATTGCATTGAATCACCAGTTCCCTTATGATCACTGAAGTTAAGCAACATCAAGCCTGGTCAGTACCTAGATGGGTAACTGCTTGGGAATATCAGGTGCTGTAAGCTTGGATGTGCAGGTGATGTAAAGGATAATGGCTTGGAATTGTTAATTGGATTCCAGTTGAATTTGTTATATTCGCTTACATGCAAATACCTTTTAGAAAAGTATGAATCCACTTCTCCTCTCAGATATGGGTTAATTAGTAAGAATGTACCACTAAACCATTATCTCAAAAAAAATATTACAATCTAAAAAATGTTACGCTGTAGTATACAAATCAATTGATCAGTTTTCAAAATCAATAACAATAATAATAATGTCATGGGCAACAGCTTTATTTGATCAGTTGGGCAATGGCTTTTGAGGCAAAGTAAAGTTACCTTCAGTTGGTTCAAAAGTAGAGCAATTCCTATGAAACTTTATAAAGCAAAATGGAGTAAAACAAAGAATCATTTATTAATTTATATGAGAAAAATATTTAAGTGTTCCCAGATTCCAAAATAACCTTCATTTTTGCTATGGCTGACAGTGCTGCAATGGTTGAAGAATAGTATTATCATATTTGTGAAAAGTCATAGCTTCTGGGCAGGTTTGCAGGATGTTATACGTGTTTACTAAGAACTGTATGATAGAAAAATACACTAGGATACTTATGTACAAGCCTTTCACATCAGTCACAATAGATGACTAACCACAAGTTTCAACATTGAGGCAGAGATAAGTGGTTATTTGGGGTTCTAGGAATGCTCAAATATTTTCCCCATATAAATTGTTTGTTTGCTTTATGTTGGTGGCTGGGTGTGTAGGTTTTCATAAAAACAATTGGCTAAAAAGTGAATTTAAAAAACCTCAGCTTATTTGGTTTACAAATAGACTTACATTAAGCTAAGAGACTGCAATACAACTTAAATACTAGTTATAAAATGCATTTCGCTTTCAAAATAAATAAAAATCTAAAATCTGTATATTTCGTTAACCTTAAACCTTAATCAAAATAGTTTGTTTAAACTTAGATTTTTGATAAAATGAAACACTTAAACAATGATACAGCTCTTAAACCTTATCTGTTGGTGTCATTCAGACAATTTCAAAATAAAGGGTTAAACTATTTTCATAAAATATACTTGCAACTGATCAGTCTTTGATTAAGAAACAATTTTTCTTGTTAAAATCAGTCTATTATCTGTTTATTAATTGCTAAAAATGTGTACGAAAATAGTCCATGACAATTTACAAAGCAGTAGATGCACTCATACAAATTTAATTTATGGACAATAGTAAATGAGGAACATATTCCTCATCAGATTAAGGCCAAATTTTAATCCAGTTTGTACTGTTAAAAATGTTAAAATGTCCCAATAAAATATTTTCAATCTAAATGTTATTATTTCCAACATTAATAGTGAATTCAGATTTCTTTAAATGGAAAATCATTGGTGTTGCCTATTACTTTTCAAAGTATATGTTTATTTATCTGTTTATTTTTGTCATTTACAGATTTATTTATATGATTATATTTGCATCTATTTTCTTTACCTATTAAATGAAAGATAGTTTTTTAACTAATATCTACAGTGGGATAGGGGGTGTCCTGGTGCTCATGATTTAAAAAAAAAAAAAAATGAAAATAAAATAAAAACATAACCACATGTCTGGTGGACACTTTATAAATCATCAAAACAAATATTATGGATCAGGTGTTGTTAACCAGGTAGGGTGGAGGCATTTTTTTATCCTTTGGATACAAAAGATTTCCTTCCTTCAAGATATTGTTTTCCAAAATCAAGCAATTCACTTTTCAGCTCTATTTAAAATGCTTGACTTGAGACTAATGTCTTCATCTTAAGTTTGTGTGACATTTTTGTTGTTGTAATATTGTTGTTGTGACCCCCTCCCACCAACCTGCATCAAAGTATTGTACTGAGTACACTAGTATTTTATGATTGTGGATGTTAATGCTTTCAATGTTGTACTTGTAGAAATATAGTTTTCATGCAATCTTATGTGTATAGAATATTTGAAAGTTGTTTTTTTTTCTTTTTTTTTTTTTTTGTATCTATGTTGTTTGCACATGTGTGTCTGGTGTGTGTGTGTATATCTTTGTTTATAACTTAAATTGGGCACAGGATGGTAGAGAGTTGAGGGAGGGAGTCGGTGTTGTCAATTTTGCTGCTACTCTTCTTCCTCCTCCTTGGTCCTTTCTTGTCTTTACTGTAGGTGTTGTCCGTCATGTGGTGTGCACTAGCCACCACCTGCAGTCTGACGTGTTTGACGCTGTGTTTTTTTTTTTTTTTTTTTCTTCTTTTTTTGTTGCCACTTTTAGGGCAAACTGCTTGGCCCTCTTCTCCAGCTGAAAAGGTCGAATCAGCGACCCTGGACATCAGCCCAGGTGCTGGCAGCGGCGGCAGCAGCAGCGGGCTCACAACTCAGTGACCAGGGTTGGACCCTTGTCAAGAATGTTGGTGCCCACCCAAGAATATGATGTCCATACTCAACTCCCTCCCGCTTACTACCCGAGGAGTTCCCTACCCTAGCAGATTCCGAACAGCCCTCAGCTTTACCGGTCGGCGTTGACCGTCCAGAGACATCTACATACTTTATGAAAAAAGAAAGAGAAATAAAAAAAACACAAAAAATCTTGCATTCTTTCAAAGCAGTGAGTTACAAAATGAAAGAAGAGAGAATGAAGCCATAAGAATACATTAGGTGTCCAAGCTTGTTCTTTATAAGAATGTGCGTGCGTGTGCGCTTGTCTTATGCACTTTTTATGATGCTTTAGATTGGTAAATGTTTATGCTGTATTTTCTTTAAGATTGGATATGAATGAATTACTCGTCAAAAAACGAAAAAAGAAAAATATAGCACCTTTCAATGATTTTAATTTTTTTTTTTTTTTTTTTTTTTTTATCAATGCTTCAGTTGGTCTGTCCCTCTTCAGATGAATTCAGTGGATGCTAAATTCATCTAAAAAGCCTAAAGAATTGATCAGCAAAAAAAAAATGTGATAAAACCATAAACATTAGAGAAAAACTATCACTGAATGATAATCCAGAATTTTAGGCAAAAACAAAAATAATTTTACCCATAAGATTTGAACTGTAAATTTGTTTTGTTGCTGTTGTGATAATTTAATGTATTTTTTTTTTCTTTAAAATAATCATTTGCTTATTGCGATAGCTGTTGTCAGCCTTGGAATTGGTACAGATTTAGTTCCTAGTTAAAAAGCAAACAAATCTACAAATTTAATCTGTTAGTAAAGTGGCTTTCTAATCATTGTGTTGTAACATTTTTTTTTTTTTTTTTTTTCTAACAATTTCTCATGCATCATGCCAATCTGCAAGTTGTTTCACGTGCTATATTTATTTAGTTTTATTTATTTTTATTATTTATTTAGTTTTATTTTTTTATTTAGTTTTTTTTTTTATTAAGAAAACCATTTTAGTGTTAAAAAGAAGTCAATTTTATAAATGAATGGGTAAATCTTAAATAAGTTTTATTTAAGCGTTTGATACAATTAAAGAGAAATGCCAATTAGGAAGAAACAATGCCATGTTTATTTCAAACATTACCAAATTCTTTGACAAAAGAATTGATTATTTAATTGTAAATTAGAAATGCAGGCCGTTCATTTTGATATTTCAAGTAGTTATACTTTGGAGACCTAGTACTATTAAATAGACTTGTCCACTCATAAAAACTAGGGAAAAACTTCTGGAAATAATTTTTTGTACATGAGCATTTTTTTTAGGTTTGTCAGAATAACATTTATTTGTTATAAATCCATTTAGAAGAGGGATCCTATTTATAATATTGTTATAGCATTACATTGATCCTGGATTTTTTTTTTTATACAGCTGTTGGACTGTTATTTACAAATGTCAAGTTTGAAACTGTTAATGATTTATATATCAACATATTTAAAAAAAATTTTTTGTATGGAATTTTTTTCGGAAGCACATGCACAAACATTTGAAGTCCATAATTATCTTAAATGAAGAATAGATGGAGACAATTTTATTAATTTATATATCTTATGTAAAGTTTTGTTCTTTCATTAAAAAAAAATATTTATATATCTATTTGTTATCTGCCTTTGAACTCAACACTCCAAGTTTTTGGAGTTGAGTTAAAGGGATATAACTGAGATATCCGGAAGAGGCATGGCACATGGAAGTAGAATAATCTACCCCAGTGGATAAAATAAAGGGTTCAGTTGAAAATTCCAATCATCTGAAGTAGGCTGGAACATACAACAGCTAAAATATTGTGAATATGGCAACAAAGATGGGGACAACAGTCCAAACAATGTAAATAGTGTAAATAGAAACCCTTGTTTATTTTTTTTTGTTTCATTTTCTCAAAACCTGTGGTTGACCATTACATGAAACATTAGCTGATTTTTAAATTCTTAACAATTTTGACAGATCTGTTATTACTAGTCAGTCTTATGTATTTATTGTGTGTTGAGAAGAAACCAAAAAACAATTAGTATACTTTTAAAAAAATCGATAAGACCCAGAAGGTTTTGTCTGCATTGAAGAAAGGGTGTTTACCTCTTGTATTCAGATCAGGGATCTCTCTTATAGATTTTGGTAATCAGCTTATTGTTAGTGAAAACCTATTAGCTTTCAAGTCCTCTTTTTCTCTTTCATATTGTGTATATGAACTTTGTTTTTGTTGCCATCACGTCTTTGCAAAATTTGAGCAAATAGCCAAATGTCAGAATCTTTTTTGGAACACTTCTTGGTCAGACAAAGAACTTTTCAGCAGCACTTATATTCCCAAACCGGGTCTGTTAAATTCAACTGACACAGTGTGTTTACTTTAAATTTTTTAAATTTTTGAATAAGATATTGTGCATTAGGATCAAAATTAGGAATAAAATGTTCAAAGTTATTTTTGTTTAAGTATTTTCGATTGTCATTATCAAGAACTGGGTGGTATTAATAAATTTTGTTTGCTATGTTGTGACAGATTTTATTATTCTTATTAATGCTGTTATTCAAGTTAATCCAAAGCAATATAATATGTAAATGATTACACAAAGCTTAGGCTGCCACTGG